TTTTTTTTTTTTTTTTTGTGTGTTCTGCCATTCACATAATCACATAATTCATTCATTTATTTATTATTTATGAGTTATGATTTAGTGCATTTACATATATATTGAATAATTTTTAATATTATTCACTTAAATATTAATAAACAATCTCGCTATTACGATCATCGATTGTCAACGATCAATGGTTAACAATCAACAAGTCAAGGTTCACCTTAGCTGAACTCCGATCCTGAATTTGCCACTGATAGGCACAATCACTTTGGCATCTTTCATTTATGTAAGTTTGAAATCATAATTGATTATTTTCTCAAAGGAATATATAAAGCATAATAAGCCATTAAATTAATAGGAGTGACAATGATGCCTTTTGCTTTCTTGATTAGGTCACTTATATAAGCCATAAATGTTTATTGTTCTTGTCATTATCAGTTGTTAGAGTGGGAACAGAATATTAGGCTGAACCATGTTCTTTATCTACCATTCAGTTCCATTTTTAAAATTTATTTTCAACCACACATTTGATAAAATTCATGACTTTTATCAACTCTTTAATCACATATTTCATCATTTTTTTATCAAAATTTACTAAAAATTTGATTTTTAGTTAAACCGAACTAGAACTTAGTTTCTCTCTTCACAAGATAGGTTATACATAATTTTTTTGACCAATCATGTAATCATATGATTAAAAAATAATTTTAAACATTTATTTTACAGTTTCACAAATAAGGGCCAAACATGGACTTAATATCGTAGACTAAGATTTATACTCTAAAAAGTGAATAGGGTTTTTTTTGCATACCAAGATTTACATTAAGCCCCGTTTGGGCCACCTTATTTTCTCATTAAAATGAAAAATATGACCGTTATTCATCACATCAATATTTAAATTCAAATTTTCTATCTCTTGTGTGGGCCCCAATAACGACTATATTTTTCATTCTCATTCTACTAAAAATTCTAATTTAATATTTATCGTGGACTATGTTTCTTGAGTTTTAGATAGCACAGAAAAATTCCCTAGCGAATTAGGCTTGCTTTGTAGTACACTCCTAGCCATTTCATTAAATTTACTTATGTATTAAATTAGATAGTCCTGTGTCATAACATTTTGGCAACATACAATAACAATAAATTAAAGATCATTCTCACAAGTCATACACTTGCTTCCCAGTGAATTTCACCTCAATCGGGCTAGCATTTTTACCAATGGATCACATATTTTGGCCAGCTCCTTGGCGGCCAGCGTTAACCTTTTCCGGGTAGACTCCATCCTTAGGGTGCAAATACTGTACCTCTCCATTAGGGAACACCCTATAAAATTGGTACTTAATCTCGTACTTGGACCTTAGCCTAGTACCAAGTGCCAAACACTGCTCTTTCCTAGCCAATTTCAATAGATTTGGGCTCAGCCTCATTATGGCCGCTCCACCGGTGGGCATCTCAAAAATTTGTTCCTTAGGCGAGTCCCATGTAATGACGTAGAATTCCTCCATTTGTGCTTTGCGCAATAGGCTACCAGTACTGTCATCGAAGATTGGTGATGGAATGTTAGGATCCAATTCTGGCATCAGAGCCTCCTTCTCTACCTCTTTCTTGGTGGGTGCCTCCTCTGCCATGACACGAATAGAATGGTATGCAACAGTGGATGTCTTTAGTGGCCTAGGACTAGTGAATGATGCAATGGAGGATTGCTCCCACGACACCGACACATGATCCCCGAATTTAGTGGCGGAGAGCGGGAAAGATGGAGGCTTGTGTTGCCATAGCATGAGAGAGAATTAAGAGAAATCGTTAGGATTTGTGATTTGTACAAATAACAAAATGGGTTTGATGGAAAAAAAAAGGTCGCTTTTTTTTTTTTGTGTGTGTGTTTTGATGGGTGGAGGGAAATTTGTGCACTGGAGAAGGTGATATAGTTTGAACCAATGGCAAAATGTGACTTTGGTAAGCAGTTTTAGCTTCTGGTTAAGCATGTCTTTTTCTTGCCACGTGTCTCTTGGTCAATCGTAGATAGTGCATTGGATAATGTAGGGCATAATTGTCAATTTGGTCCTTGAATTGGAGAGCTTGAAAAATTGAAGTGGTGGACTGACGGTGTCAAAAAATTTCAGATTACTTTTCCAAAAATGTGTTTTATAATGAGTGATTAGCACATAGCATACTTACATTTCATTATTATTGTGGCAAACGCTGTTATCTTTCATTTTTTATCATTTTCATCCTTATTTTCACTTTTTATTGTCTAAAATGTATTTTTCATACATTTTCTCAATTAAAAAAAAAAGGTGAATCTTGAATATACCATTCTATTTAAATTAAACAAAAAGAAAAAGAAATAATTAATTGTAATTATAGTCTCAATTTGTTTTTTTTTTAAAAAAATGCAAACGAATTCTAAATAAATTATTAAAAAGGTAATTAGTACCTAATGTCCATATATTTCACTACTATTGTAAAAAACGTTCATACCTTTCATTTTTTTTTATTTGCATTTTCACTTTTAATTACGCATTTGATTACTCAAACCATCATTTCTATCCAATTTCTCAACAAAAAATTGTGAAATTACGAATATACCATCATACTTAAATAAAAAATAAAATTAAAGAAAATTATTTTTTTTTCTAATTTTTAATAATTTAATTGGAACTCGTTTGCATTTTTAAAAAAAAAAATTCTAATTTTTTAATAATTTATTTGGGACTTGTTTGCACTTTTTAATTTTTTTTATAATTTATTTGAGACTCATTTGAACTTTTTTTTAAAAATTGGAGTTATGATTGCAATTAATTCTTTTTATTATTATTTAAATATGAGGATATATTCATCATTTTACAGCTTTTAATTGAGAAAATTGATGAAAATGACCTTTTGCGAATGAAATGTGGAAATAAAGGTGAAAATGCAAAAAAAAAATAAAAAAAAGGTAATGACGTTTTCTACAATAATAGTGAAGGGTAAGGAAGTTATGTGCTAATTACCCTTTTATAAAATAGCAAAATTCAGTTAATATCGAATTCGGGTGTGTTTGATATACAAGATGAAAATAGTTGTACATAAAAATAATGAAGATCCTGGACTTTTACGATTATGGTTCACCCACGATCTTTTGGTCAGTAGAGTGATTGTTCTGATGCAGATGATCCTCTACAAAGGCAACTGTAGAGCATACTATTAGAACCGTATCCATTTCATATTCCTTTCACCTTTCTGTTACTTATTTAATCCAGCTGGTATGATTAGTTTAAATTGTTAGTTAGTTTGTTAGCTTGTTTGTTACTTTTGGCGCCAACTTTGGCTCCTTTTTATATGACCTTTGTATGCTCCTTTATTTATCAATTTAATAAACGAGGTTCAGTTTCTCCTCACTGATTTTATCCTAATATGGTATCAGAGCAACTTCCGATCTGTGCACTTCTTCATCACTTTTGTTGAAGTCTGCAGTCATGGACTCTGTCGAATCTGAAGGGCCTCTTCATGTGCGAACAGTCATGAATAGAAATCCCGTTGATGAACTTTCAAGCCCCTATTTTCTTCATCATTCTGATAGTCCAGGATTGTTGCTGGTATCACAACGACTCACGGGAGAAAACTATGCCTCTTGGAGTCGTGCGATGATGATTGCCTTATCCGTGAAGAACAAGCTTAGATTCATTGATGGAAGCTTAATGAAACCAGAAAATGCAGACGCTAAATTGATGAATTCCTGGATACGAAACAATAATATGGTCATCTCATGGATCTTCAATTCTGTTTCGAAGGAAATTACTGCCAGCATACTATATAGAACTTCAACGTTCGAGATATGGAATGACCTTAAGGACAAATTTCAACAGAAGAATGGGCCACGCATTTTTCAATTGAGGAAAGATTTGATGAATCTAACTCGGGATCAAATTACTGTAAGTACATATTTCACTAAACTCAAAACTCTATGGGACGAACTTAGCAACTATCGTCCTGCCTGCACATGTGGAGGATGCACTTGTGGAGGAGTGAAAGAGTTGAACACGCACCATCAAATGGAATACATCATGTCCTTTCTCATGGGGCTACATGATTCCTTCTCACAAGTTAGAGGACAGCTCTTGCTTATGGATCCATTGCCCCCAATCAACGAGGTTTTGCCTTAATTTCTCAAGAAGAAAACCAGAGAAAGATTAGCACCCAAATATCTGATGGAACCGACTTGACTGGAGCTGCTGCATTCACTGTAAGATCAAACAATGTTAAAATGCAGAGTGGATCTGGTTTTTCTAACGATGGCTTCAGGCCTAGGAATTTTAAAAGGAATGATAGACCCTACTGCACACATTGTAACATCCACGGTCACTCCATTGCCAAGTGCTTCAGGATCCATGGATTTCCTCCTGGTTTTAAGCCAAGAGTGAAGGATAACTTCCAGATCTCCTCTGGCTCCACTGCAATTAATCAATTCTCAGCTCCATCGAATTCACAGAATGAATGAAAGCAACCTGCTATGAGAAACTTTGTCCAGAGTTTAAATCCTAATCAGTATCAGGAGTTGATGTCAATGCTATCCACTCACCTCACATCAAGTGCCACCATTAACAACCAGAATAATGATGTTATATCATATGCTGCAGGTATATGTCTATCTGTCAACCCCATTTTTTCTTCCAAGGAATTCTGGATAGTGGACTCGGGTGCCACCAAACATGTATGTTCCATTGCTGATGCATTTGAGAACATGAGATCATTGAAGGCTCTAATGTGACCCTGCCAAATCATACACAGATTCCAGTCAATTGTGTGGTGATGTTAAATTGGGGCCAAAGCTTATACTGCATGATGTGTTGTTTTTACCCCAATTCAATTTCAACTTATTATCAGTAAGTGCACTGACTGCTGATACTCAACTCACCCTTAATTTCTTTCATGATGGCTTCATTATTCAGGAGGCCAAGACCAAGATGATGATTGGCAAGGGTGACTGTTTGCAGGACCTGTATGTTCTTGACACCAGAACACTGAATTCTGTTTCTAATGCTTTTGTTAACAATGTATGTATGGCATAATAAGCTTGGACATCTCTCCTTTAAAAGATTAGAATGCTTGAAAAGTCAGTTACTGTATGATGTTGCAAGTTTGAATAAACACATGCCTTGTTATATTTGCCCTCTTGCAAAACAAAGGAGATTGTGGGTTTTCAAGAATAAATACAAGTCAGATGGCATAATTGAGAGGCACAAAGCTCGCTTAGTCGCCAAAGGCTATACGCAACAGGAGGGGCTAGATTTTTTTGACACTTTCTCCCCAATGGCTAAAATAGTTACTGTCAAAGTCCTCTTATCCCTTGCAGCTAGCAGAAAATGGAATTTGGTCCAACTTGATGTCAATAATGCTTTCCTTAATGGTGATCTATTTGAGGATGTCTACATGGATATTCCACTTGGTTACAAAGTTCCTCATGCTGTCAAACTGGGGGAGAAACTTGTTTGCAAAATTACATAAATCAATTTATGGCTTGAAACAGGCATCAAGGCAATGAAATTCCAAATTCACCCAGGCACTTCTCTAATATGGCTTTCATCAGTCTAAAGCTGATCATTCTTTATTTATCAAAGGTTCTGGTCGTGATTTTATTGCATTGCTCGTGCATGTTGATGACATGGTCATCACAGGGCCCAACATTCAGGCAATTGGTTTATTGAAGACTTTTCTACAATCTCATTTCAAGCTGAAGGATCTTGGAGCTTTGAGGTACTTCTTAGGCATCGAAATTGCACGTTCTGCGTCTGGTATTGCAATTTCGCAGAAAAACTATGCTTTGCAATTACTTGAAGATTCGGGATATTTGGATTGCAAACCAACTAGCACCCCTATGGATCCACATAATCGTCTTAGCATTCATGATGGGGATCCACTCGCAGATGCTTCTCACTATCAACGATTGATTGGCCGGTTGATTTACCTAACATTATCCAGGCCTAATATCACCTTCGCAGTACATAAGCTGAGTCAATTCATGTCACAACCTAGGATGCCTCACCTTAAAGCAGTCCATCATCTCCTTCATTACTTGAAGAATAATCCCGGACAAGGCCTACTCTTCTCTGCTTCTTCTGACTTACGATCGCCTCTCAAGATTCGAGCTTTTTTGGACGCTAACTGGGGATCTTGCATTGACACCAGGAAATCCACTACTGGTTTCTGCATCTTTCTTGGAGAATCATTAGTGTCTTGGAAAGCAAAACGGCAACCTACCATCTCTCGTTCCTCAGCTGAAGCTGAATATAAGGCCCTTGCTGCCACTGTTAGCAAAGTTATTTGGATCACTCAACTGATGACAGATTTCCAACTCAATACTGTGTCTCCAGCTATCATCTATTGTGACAACCAATCTCCTATCCAGATTGCCAATAATCCTACGTTTCACGAAAGAACAAAACACATCGAAATCGACTGTCATTTCATCCGAGACAAAATTACAAATGGTATCGTTAAATTGCTGCCAATCCGTTCCCGTCATCAGCTTCCTGATTTGTTCACTAAGCCCCTGCCTGCTTCTGTTCTCCTTCCGTTATTATCCAAGATGTGTGTAAAGAATATTTACAGCACCTCTTGAGGGGGAGTATTAGAACCGTATCCATTTCATATTCTTTTCACCTTTCTGTTACTTAGTTAATCCAGCTGGTATGATTAGTTTAGATTGTTAGTTAGTTTGTTAGCTTGTTTGTTACTTTTGACGCCAACTTTGGCTCCTTTTTATATGACCTTTGTATGCTCCTTTCTATATCAATTTAAT